GTTAGGTATTGCACGATGTTATATATTGCAGTATGTTAGGTATTGCACAATGTTAGGTGTTGCAGAATGTTAGATATTGCAGAATGTTAGGTATTGCAGAATGTTAGATATTGCACAATGTTAGATATTGCAGAATGTTAGGTATTGCAGAATGTTAGATATTGCAGAATGTTAGATATTGCACAATGTTAGGTATTGCAGAATGTTAGGTATTGCACAATGTTAGATATTGCAGAATTTTTGGGTTTATTGCAGAATGTTAGGTATTGCACAATGTTAGATATTGCACAATTTAGATATTGCAGAATGTTAGGTATTGCAAAAATGTTGGGAAATTGCAGAATGTTAGATATTGCACAATGTTAGGTATTGCAGAATGTTAGGTATTGCACAATGTTAGATATTGCAGAATGTTAGGTATTGCAGAATGTTAGGTATTGCACAATGTTAGATATTGCACAATGTTAGGTGTTGCAGAATGTTAGATATTGCAGAATGTTAGGTATTGCAGAATGTTAGATATTGCACAATGTTAGGTGTTGCAGAATGTTAGGGTTGCAGAATGTTAGATAATTGCGAATGTTAGATATTGCAGAATGTTAGGTATTGCACAATGTTAGGTATTGCAGAATTTTTAGGTATTCCCAAATGTTAAGATTATTGCAGAATGTTAGGTATTGCAGAATGTTAGGTATTGCACAATGTTAGGTATTGCAGAATGTTAGGTATTGCAGAATGTTAGGTTTTTGCAGAATGTTAGGTATTGCAGAATGTTAGATATTGCACAATGTTAGATATTCCCACAATGTTAGATATTGCAGAAATGTTAGATATTGCAGAATGTTAGATATTGCAAAATTGTTAGAAAATGCACAATGTTAGATATTGCACAATGTTGATATTGCACAATGTTAGATATTGCAGAATGTTAGATATTGCACAATGTTAGATATTGCACAATGTTAGATATTGCACAATGTTAGATATTGCAGAATGTTAGATATTGCACAATGTTAGATATTGCAGAATGTTAGTATTGCAGAAGTTAGATATTGCACAATGTTAGGTATTGCAGAATGTTAGGTATGCAGGATGTTAGATATTGCACAATGTTAGGTATTGCAGAATGTTAGGTATTGCAAAATGTTAGGTATTGCAGAATGTTAGGTATTGCAGAATGTTAGATATTGCAAAATGTTGGGTATTGCACAATGTTAGATATTGCAGAATGTTAGATATTGCAGAATTTGGGTATGCAGAATGTTGGGTATTGCACAATGTTAGATATTGCACAATGTTAGATATTGCAGAATGTTAGATATTGCAGAATGTTAGGTATTGCACAATGTTAGATATTGCAGAATGTTAGATATTGCAGAATGTTAGATATTGCAGAATGTTAGGTATTGCAGAATGTTAATATTGCACAATGTTAGATATTGCACAATGTTAGATATTGCACAATGTAGATATTGCACAATTTTAATATTGCAAAATGTTAGATATTGCAGAATGTTAGGTATTGCACAATGTTAGATATTGCAGAATGTTAGATATTGCAGAATGTTAGATATTGCAGAATGTTTAGGTATTGCAGAATGTTAATATTGCACAATGTTAGATATTGCACAATGTTAGATATTTGCACAATGTTAGATATTGCATATGTTAGGTATTGCAGAATGTTAGGTATTGCCACAATGTTAGATATTGCACAATGTTAGATATTGCAGAATGTTAGATATTGCAGAATGTTAGGTATTGCACAATGTTAGATATTGCAGAATGTTAGATATTGCAAAATTTGTTAGATATTGCAGAATGTTAGGTATTGCAGAATTTTTAATATTGCACAATGTTAGATATTGCACAATGTTAGATATTGCACAATGTTAGATATTGCAGTATATTAGGTATTGCAGAATGTTAGGTATTGCACAATGTTAGGTATTGCAGAATGTTAGGTATTGCAGTATGTTATGTATTGCAGAATGTTAGGTATTGCACAATGTTGGTATTGCAGAATGTTAGATATTGCACAATGTTGGTATTGCACAATGTTAGTATTGCAGAATGTTAGATATTGGCAAATGTTAGATATTGCAAATGTTAGGTATTGCAGAATGTTAGATATTGCCAATGTTAGATATTGCACAATGTTAGATATTGCACAATGTTAGATATTGCACAATGTAGATATTGCAGAATGTTAGATATTCAGATGTTAGGTATTGCCAATGTTAGATATTGCAGAATGTTAGATATTGCAGAATGTTAGATATTGCAGAATGTTAGGTATTGCAGAATGTTAGATATTGCACAATGTTAGATATTGCCAATGTTAGATATTGCACAATGTTAGATATTGCAGTATGTTAGGTTTGCAGAATGTTAGGTTTTGCACAATGTTAGATATTGCACAATGTTAGATTTTGCAGAATGTTAGATATTGCAGAATTTTTAGGTATTGCAAAAAGTTAGAATTGCAGAATGTTAGATATTGCAGAATTTTAGATATTGCAGAATGTTAGGTATTGCAGAATGTAGATATTGCACAATGTTAGATATTGCACAATGTTAGATATTGCACAATGTTAATATTGCAGTATATTAGGTATTGCAGAATGTTAGGTATTGCACAATGTTAGGTATTGCAGAATGTTAGGTATTGCAGTATGTTATGTATTGCAGAATTTTAGGTATTGCACAATGTTAGGTTTTTGCAGAATGTTAGATATTGCACAATGTAGGTATTGCACAATGTTAGATATTGCAGAATGTTAGATATTGCAGAATGTAAGGTATTGCAGAATGTTAGGTATTGCAAAATGTTAGATTTTGCACAATGTTAGATATTGCACAATGTAGATATTGCAGTATTTTAGAAAATGCAGAATGTTAGGTATTGCAAAATGTTAGGTATTGCAGAATGTTAGGTATTGCAGTATGTTAGGTATTGCACATGTTAGGTGTTGCAGAATGTTAGGTATTTAGGAAACACTGAAGGCTGCTAACATTTAGGAGTACCACGTCACCAGGACCATGCTGGCGAGGTTAACCACGATTACTGTTATTCATTATTTATCGTCTGATTTCTTTAAATTTTATTTTTTTATAATCAGCGTACATGGCGTGGTTAGGGAAAAAAGCTTGATTTAAAAAGCTGTGACTTTGTAAATGGCCCAAATCGGACCGAAACGTCGTCGTAAGCTCTCTTTCCTATGTGCGGGTTATTTATTATTGGATCCCCAGGGGTGATGATCCCTGGAACCATCCAAAGTAAACTATGGTCACCCTAGTTACCCATGGTTGCAGTGTTACCTTTGGTAACACTTTAGTTCCATAGTCTCCTCTGGTATATTCTCCTACATAATTATTTCTTCCCATTTCTCTATTCGTTCCAGTGTGTTCTGTTCCGGGATTTTCACTTCTTGGAATCTACTGCTGAGGTGTTATATTTCGTTATTATTTTCCATAAGTGATCTACGTATCTTTAGTCTGGCTGTGAGTTCTTGGAATTCCATTATCCTCCTCATAACCTGTGACATGATAAAGCCACTATCTTTGGTCTGGCTGTGAGTTCTTGGAATTCCATTATCCTCCTCATAACCTGTGACATGATAAAGCCACTATCTTTGGTCTGGCTGTGAGTTCTTGGAATTCCATTATCCTCCTCATAACCTGTGACATGATAAAGCTCACTATCTTTTGGGCTGGCTGTGAGTCTTGGAATTCCATTATCCTCCTCATAACCCGTTTACATGATAAAAGTTCACTATCTTAGTCTGGCTGTGAGTTCTTGGAATTCCATTATCCTCCTCATAACCTGTGACATGATAAAGCTCACTATCTTTGGTCTGGCTGTGAGTTCTTGGAATTCCATTATCCTCCTCATAACCTGTGACATGATAAAGCTCACTATCTTTGGTCTGGCTGTGAGTTCTTGGAATTCCATTATCCTCCTCATAACCTGTGACATGATAAAGTTCACTATCTTTAGTCTGGCTGTGAGTTCTTGGAATTCCATTATCCTCCTCATAACCTGTGACATGATAAATCTCACTATCTTTAGTCTGGCTGTGAGTTCTTTGGAATTCCATTATCCTCCTCATACCTGTGACATGATAAAGGGTCACTATCTTTAGTCTGGCTGTGAGTTCTGGAATTCCATTATCCTCCTCATAACCTGTGACATGATAAAGCTCACTATCTTTAGTCTGGCTGTGAGTTTTTGGAATTCCATTATCCTCCTCATAACCTGTGACGTGATAAAAACTCACTATCCAACCATGTAATCCTGTTGAGGTATTTCTATTTACATTGTGCCTTATCCTGAATTTTTTCCGAATTATTCTTCGGGCTTTAATTTCTCACTCTTTACTGGCTCTCCTGCCTATCATCATGTTTATCAGCTTGAAGTGATCCTGAGAGAGTTAACCGAGAGAAAGTATCGGAGGGTCAACGCCCCCGCTGCTCATTTTCCATACTTTTGTCGAAGAACTGGAAGAAAATAGACCTGAGTGGGTTTTCTTATTTACAAACACAGCTATTACCTTCCCATCATGTTAATATCTGATGGTCTGTCACTGACTTGTTCTCTTATTGTCCCCCTCCAGCAGGCAGATCATGTTAATATCTGATGGTCTGTCACTGACTTGTTCTCTTATTGTCCCCCTCCAGCAGGCAGATCATGTTAATATCTGATGGTCTGTCACTGACTTGTTCTCTTATTGTCCCCCTCCAGCAGGCAGATCATGTTAATACCTGATGGTCTGTCACTGACTTGTTCTCTTTTTGTCCCCCTCCAGCAGGCAGATCATGTTAATATCTGATGGTCTGTCACTGACTTGTTCTCTTATTGTCCCCCTCCAGCAGGCAGATCATGTTAATATCTGATGGTCTGTCACTGACTTGTTCTCTTATTGTCCCCCTCCAGCAGGCAGATCATGTTAATATCTGATGGTCTGTCACTGACTTGTTCTCTTATTGTTCCCTTACAGCAGGCAGATCATGGTTCTCAAGGCATCAACCATCAAGGCAACGCCCTTCACTACATTCCTGCTGTTGGTAATGATCTTCGTCGTGGTGGTGTTCTTCCAGGCTCCTCCTCCCAGTCAGCCTAACAACAGTAATGACACTAACGTCTGGAACGATCACAGTCAACAAACTTTTGCCAGACAAATAGTAAGTTGTCTACCAGATCTTAAAGTAATTAAGTCACTTTGACATCGTGCAAATTCTATTGTCTGAAACTGATGTCCTGTTTTCTAATATTTTATGATTGCTGAATCATCGAAGACAAGTCGAAAAATATTTTGGAGGGGAATATCTTCGCATGCGGATTTATCAAGGTCAGTACCTTGACAAGACAGCCATTAAGAAAACCTTGGATAGTTAAATGTGTTACATTAAAGGCCTTTTCCCTCAGATCTCTCAATTCCACCTCTCTCCCATCTTATAATATTAAGATTTCCCCCTCTCTTCCATTGTCAGATTTTTTTGGGTTATCCTGGTGGGTAATTTACACTCTATGATAATTGTTCTTATGTGTACCCGAGCCTAAATAAATCCTCAGCTGGAGAGTACAGGTATAAATGGTCTCAGACGGAACGTAACAGAGCACTGCAGAGACACAGACCGAACGTAACAGAGCACTGCATTACCACAGACGGAACGTAACAGAGCACTGCATTACCACAGACGGAACGTAACAGAGCACTGCATTACCACAGACGGAACGTAACAGAGCACTGCATTACCACAGACGGAACGTAACAGAGCACTGCATTAACACAGACGATCGGAAGAACATAACAGAGGAACATAGAGCAGGCCTACTGGCCCATACTACGCGAGTTCTTCTCAAACCCAACCCATCTCACTCAAACACTCGTCCTCACATAGTTTAGCCAAGACACCTCGTGGAAGCCAGCTTATTACGCATTCATTTCTGTGTTTACATCACTTAGTGTATTAGAGTATTCTTGACTGGTAAAGAGTATGTTAAATACTTGTGTTCAAAATCGACAAGTTGAAGAATGAGATACTCACGCATCATAAGGGAAACTTTCCTGGGGTAACGTGTTGATACAAAGTGGCTTCATCTGTCCAAAACAAAGAAGAAAGGTTCACAGAGAGGAGGAGTTTGAGGTAATCAGTCTCTCAGCCTGGAATCGCTGTGTTCAGTCCATCAGACTTCAAGAAAGTACAGCATATGGTCGGAGAAGAGGCTTATATACTGTAGTCAGGTGAGTGGAAGCAGGAGGAGGAGGGGTAATAGTGGTACCATCCACTAGCAACTATTATATAGAATAGTGTAGCAACAGTGCTGGTGTTCCCACAATGTAACTATCATATAGAATAGTGTAGCAACATTGCTGATGTTCCCACAATGTAACTATCATATAGAATAGTGTAGCAACATTGCTGGTGTTCCCACAATGTAACTATCATATAGAATAGTGTAGCAACACTGCTGGTGTTCCCACAATGTAACTATCATATAGAATAGTGTAGCAACACTGCTGGTGTTCCCACAATGTAACTATCATATAGAATAGTGTAGCAACACACTGCTGGTGTTCCCACAATGTAACTATCATATAGAATAGTGTAGCAACACTGCTGGTGTTCCCACAATGTATCTATCATATAGAATAGTGTAGCAACACTGCTGGTGTTCTCACAATGTAACTATCATATAGAATAGTGTAGCAACACTGCTGGTGTTCCACAATGTATCTATCATATAGAATAGTGTAGCAACACTGCTGGTGTTCCCACAATGTAACTATCATATAGAATAGTGTAGCAACACTGCTGGTGTTCCCACAATGTAACTATCATATAGAATAGTGTAGCAACACTGCTGGTGTTCCCACAATGTAACTATCATATAGAATAGTGTAGCAACACTGCTGGTGTTCCCACAATGTAACTATCATATAGAATAGTGTAGCAACATTGCTGGTGTTCCCACAATGTAACTATCATATAGATATATTGTAGCAACATTGCTGGTGTTCCCACAATGTAACTATCATATAGAATAGTGTAGCAACACTGCTGGTGTTCCCACAATGTAACTATCATATAGAATAGTGTAGCAACATTGCTGGTGTTCCCACAATGTAACTATCATATAGAATAGTGTAGCAACATTGCTGATGTTTCCACAATGTAACTATCATATAGAATAGTGTAGTAACACTGCTGGTGTTCCCACAATGTAACTATCATATATAATAGTGTAGCAACATTTCTGATGTTCCCACAATGTAACTATCATATAGAATAGTGTAGCAACATTGCTGATGTTCCCACAACGTAACTATCAAATAGAATAGTGTAGCAACACTGCTGGTGTTCCCACAATGTAACTATCATATAGAATAGTTTGGCAACACTGCTGGTGTTCCCACAATGTAACTATCATATAGAATAGTGTACCAACACTACTGGTGTTCCCACAATGTAACTATCATATAGAATAGTGTAGCAACACTGCTGGTGTTCCCACAATGTAACTATTATATAGAATAGTGTAGCAACACTGCTGGTGTTCCCACAATGTAACTATCATATAGAATAGTGTAGCAACACTACTGGTGTTCCCACAATGTAACTATCATATAGAATAGTGTAGCAACACTACTGGTGTTCCCACAATGTAACTATCATATAGAATAGTGTAGCAACACTGCTGGTGTTCCCCACAATGTAACTTCATATAGAATAGTGTAGCAACACTGCTGGTGTTCCCACAATGTAACTATCATATAGAATAGTGTAGCAACACTGCTGGTGTTCCCACAATGTAACTATCATATAGAATAGTGTAGCAACACTGCTGGTGTTCCCACAATGTAACTATCATATAGAATATTGTAGCAACACTGCTGGTGTTCCCACAATATAACAATCATATAGAATAGTGTAGCAACACTGTTGATGTTCCCACAATATAACTATCATATAGAATAGTGTACCAACACTACTGGTGTTCCCACAATGTAACTATCATATAGAATAGTGTAGCAACACTGCTGGTGTTCCCACAATGTAACTATCATACAGAATAATGTAGCAACACTGCTGGTGTTCCAACAATGTAACTATCATATAGAATAGTGCAGCAACACTGCTGGTGTTCCCACAATGTAACTATTATATAGAATAGTGTAGCAACACTGCTGGTGTTCCCACAATGTAACTATCATATAGAATAGTGTAGAAAACACTATTGGTGTTCCCACAATGTAACTATCATATAGAATAGTGTAGCAACACTACTGGTGTTCCCACAATGTAACTATCATATAGAATAGTGTAGCAACACTGCTGGTGTTCCCACAATGTAACTATCATATAGAATAGTGTAGCAACACACTGCTGGTGTTCCCACAATGTAACTATCATATAGAATAGTGTAGCAACACAAACTGGTGTTCCCACAATGTAACTATCATATAGATAGTGTAGCAACACTGTTGGTGTTCCCCAATATAACTATCATTTTAGAATAGTGTAGCAAACACTGCTGGTGTTCCCACAATGTAACTATCATACAGAATAGTGTAGCAACACTGCTGGTGTTCCAACAATGTAACTATCATATAGAATAGTGCAGCAACACTGCTGGTGTTCCCACAATGAAACTATTATATAGAATAGTGTAGCAACACTGCTGGTGTTCCCAAAATGTAACTATCATATAGAATAGTTGTAGCAACACTACTGGTGTTCCCACAATGTAACTATCATATAGAATAGTGTAGCAACACTACTGGTGTTCTAAACAATGTAACTATCATATAGAATAGTGTAGCAACACTACTGGTGTTCCCACAATTTAACTATCATATAGAAAAAGTGTAGCAACACTGCTGGTGTTCCCACAATGTAACTATTATATAGAATAGTGTAGCAACACTGCTGGTGTTCCCACAATGTAACTATTATATAGAATAGTGTAGCAACACTGCTGGTGTTCCCACAATGTAACTATCATATAGAATAGTGTAGCAACACTACTGGTGTTCCCACAATGTAACTATCATATAGAATAGTGTAAGCAACACTACTGGTGTTCCCACAATGTAACTATCATATAGAATAGTGTAGCAACACTGCTGGTTTTCCCCACAATGTAACTATTATATAGAATAGTGTAGCAACACTGCTGGTGTTCCCACAATGTAACTATTATATAGAATAATGTAGCAACACTGCTGGTGTTCCCACAATGTAACTATTATATAGAATAGTGTAGCAACACTGCTGGTATTCCCACAATGTAACTATCATATAGAATAGTGTAGCAACACTACTGGTGTTCCCACAATGTAACTATCATATAGAATAGTGTAGCAACACTACTGGTGTTCCCACAATGTAACTATCATATAGAATAGTGGAGCAACACTGCTGGTGTTCTCACAATGTAACTATTATATAGAATAGTGTAGCAACACTGCTGGTATTCCCACAATGTAACTATCATATAGAATAGTGTAGCAACACTACTGGTGTTCCCACAATGTAACTATCATATAGAATAGTGTAGCAACACTACTGGTGTTCCCACAATGTAACTATCATATAGAATTAGTGTAGCAACACTACTGGTGTTCCCACAATGTAACTATCATATAGAATAGTGTAGCAACACTACTGGTGTTCCCACAATGTAACTATCATATAGAATAGTGTAGCAACACTACTGGTGTTCCACAATGTAACTATCATATAGAATAGTGTAGCAACACAGCTGGTGTTCCCACAATGTAACTATCATATAGAATAGTGTAGCAACACTACTGGTGTTCCCACAATGTAACTATCACATAGAATAGTGTAGCAATAATGCTGGTGTTCCCACAATGTAACTATCATATAGAATAGTGTAGCAACACTGCTGGTGTTCCCACAATGTAACTATCATATAGAATAGTGTAGTAACACTGCTGGTGTTCCCACAATGTAACTATCATATAGAATTGTGTAGCAACATTGCTGATGTTCCCACAATGTAACTATCATATAGAATAGTGTAGCAACATTGCTGATGTTCCCACAACGTAACTATCAAATAGAATAGTGTAGCAACACTGCTGGTGTTCCCACAATGTAACTATCATATAGAATAGTTTGGCAACACTGCTGGTGTTCCCACAATGTAACTA